CAGGCTGATTTTTAAGCAACCTCTGATATAGACACTTGACATGGATTGATGCAGGGATCAGCCTCTCATGGTTACAAAACAGACAAAGGAGTTGGGCCAGACCTTGCTGTCAGCAGTTGCACTAACCCTGGTAGGATTTTGTTTCTTAAATGCACTTCTCCATTAGTGATGGCAAGTGAAATGTCTGGCTTTGCAAATTACTGCTGTCATTTAGTTTAATGTACTCTTGTTTTTACATATTTATAAAAACCTTTTACATTATTAATAGTGATTAAATGCTTAGACACTGAAGATCAATAATGCTTCTGTTCACCTATTTACATTATTAAAAAGTAATAAGTCATACCGGGCACGTAAAATATGTGGTTTACTTTGTAGTGCTGTTTGGAGTAGCTTGAAGAAAAGGAAAAAAACCTTGGGCTACAAGAGTAAAATTGTGTTTAGGAACAAATGGCGACTGAGATAAGTTTGCTAGAGACCTCACTATGGACAGGTTGTATGTTCATACTGACATTGCAGCATCAAGGGGCACAGAAGGTCCACATTCCACTGTGCTCTCACTTGCCATACAGCAAACTCAGAACAAGAAAAGACTAGTCTCCCTCGAATACACTATGATGGATGGTTACTTAACCTTCCATGTCCCTCTAACACCTAGTCACCTGTATGCCACCATCATTGGCTCCAAAGGCTCCAGATGGTGGCAATGCTCAGCAGCAAGTCAGCTGTGTTGATCGCGTATCGCCAATAGGCAACATCAATGCTTTCTTCACCTGCCTACGCAGCTGTATCTCAATTATGCAACAAATAAAAAGGAAAATGATTCACCTGATTATGGCACATAAGTGTTCTAGATTTGTCTAAGGGGAACAATCCCATAGTCAGGCATGTGAAGGGGTCACAAATCTTTTCAGGGTCACTAGTCCAGTTTTCTAAGTAGCACAGAAGTTTAGAGACCGAGCTCTCAGCACTAGCCTACTTGGGTTCAAATCCTGACTCTGACACTCACTCATTGTGACCTTGGGCAAATCATTTGGCTGATATCTTAGTTTTTGTTTTCCCACTTGAAAAATGGAGAGAGTAGTAATGCCTACTATATGGGGTTTTTATTTTATTTTAATTTTTTTGACAAGCAGAGTGGACAGTGAGAGAGAGAGACAGAAAGGTCTTCCTTTGCCGTTGGTTCACCCTCCAATGGCCGCCGTGGCCAGTGTGCTGCGGCCGGCACACCGCGCTGATCCGATGGCAGGAGCCAGGTACTTATCCTGGTCTCCCATGGGGTGCAGGGCCCCAGTACTTGGGCCATCCTCCAGTGCACTCCCTGGCCACAGCAGAGAGCTGGCCTGGAAGAGGGGCAACCGGGACAGAATCCGGCGCCCCGACCAGGACTAGAACCCAGTGTGGAGGATTAGCCTAGTGAGCCACGGCGCCGGCCTACTATATGGGGTTTTATGAGGACTAAATGAGATAACATATGTAAAAGCTCAGTACTTACAAGACCTGACACATAACAGGTGCCCAGCACCAATTTTCATGTAGCCAAATTTCCCTTTTTATGAATAATTCAACTGTCTTACTCTTCTACAAAGAAGTTCATTAGCACTGAACTGAAGTTTGTAAATGATGTCATTGAAATGTAACCAATTAAACTGGATTTGAACAATCACTTGCTTTCTAAGTTTCTTATGTTGACCCTGCTGCTATATACCTAGTGTAACTCTGGTCCACGTTAGCAGGCTTATTTAAGGACAACTTGAAATGTGGCCATTGTGGTGTAATGGAATGCTTACAGAAGTTGCTACAATGCAAACTTGTTGGCTGTCTGATTTGGGGCAGTATATTTAATCTCTTTCGATCTCAGTCTCCCTTATAAAGTTCACCCAATAGGAGGTTATTTCAAAGCTTTATGGAGAAAGAAAAGACAAGTTGATTTCAGCACAAAAAATGTTAAGATCCATGCATTATTTTATAATACATATTTTCCATGAACTTTTTGAGGACTCCTTGTATGTATCAATTTCAAATATTTTTGCACCAAAACAAACATCTTTTAACTCTACCCTCCCATGAAGTTTTGGAAATGCCGTTGTATGAATACCTACATCACAGGGATTCTATGAGGATAAAATGAAATAATGTAATCATTTTTGTAACCTAAAAAGCACTATATAAATGTAAGAGATTGTAACTATTACTACTTATATATACTGTGATTAGAGCTGGACTAATTTTGCTCAAAGATACCCAGAGTAAAAAATGCATGTGGTGCTTTTTTTAGATCTCTTGTCCTTGGAAAAGACATATGCCTTTTGTGCCAGAATGGATGTATCTATAATAGCTGGGACCCCCTGGATGAAGGAGACCCATTGCTTTGAATTTAAACGTGCCTTGCAGAGCCAAATGATAACTTGGAGCATTTTATAAAAGAATGAAGAGAACTCAATCAAACCAGGAGAAGGAGAAGGGCATTAACCACCACAAGTAATAAGTTTGTTCACTCTGCGAGCGGCTGGCAAGCGCTGCTGAAGCATGAAGCTGAACTGCAGGGGTTTAAGTTTGTCCTGACTTTCCGAAGTTTATTGCTCAAACGCCCTGCTTTGGGTCATAATAACTTGTCTCCTGTTTCTCTCAGGTCCTGACTTTCTCCCCTTACTTGAACTCAGTGTGTCATTTAACATATCTCAGTGCTGTGGAGTTGGTTGGTATATTTTTTCCACTTTTTTTTCGACTGATTTTCCCCTAAGCGTGGAGAAAGCTACAGAGTTGATGACTTAACCTTATCTTCAATAGGAAAACATTTCTTCGTTCCTCTGGTGGACAATAAGTCTCCACTAATTAAATAATTATACCTGCATTGAAAGCTACCCCAGAATTGTTGTTGAGCTGAGAGAACAATTCAAAATGGGGATGATTGAACTTGTTGGAAGAAGGCAATCTGAAGCCCTTGCTTGTCAGGCATTGCCATTTGGGTTTTGGGTTCGTCAGAAACCTGAAAGGTCAGAAGTATACAATAATAAAATATAACCAACAACTTCTAAGTTTTAACAGTTGTAGCATACACCTGAAACAAAGGGAGGTGAGTGTTTGAAATTTCTATGCATCTTTTCTTTATATTTTCTACTGTGTATAGGCCAATAATGAGTTATGATTTTCTTAGATTGCCATTGACTTTTACTTTCAGTGGAAAGCGTTTATTGGTGGGGAAACCCAACAGACTGGAGGGAAGGGGTGAAGAAGGAAAAGAGGGAGAAAGAGAGTATAAGAGAGAGATCAAGAGACATACAGAGAGAGAGAGATTGAGAGAGAGCCACATGTTCAGGAACAGGTCCTGTTAAATCTTTGCTGGGGGGTGGGCAGGGAAGTAGCAGCAGTGAATCTCTTTAGGATGGGCATGGAGCTGACGCCGGTGGAAGGGTCATGTGGTCACCTGAAATTGCCACTGATTTTTTAAATTCTTTAAAAGATTTTGTTTATTTATTTGAGAGGTAGAGTTATAGTTAGAGAGAAGAGGAGACAGACAGAAAGGTCTTCCATCCACTGGTTCACTCCCCAAATGTCCGCAATGGCTGGAGCTGCGCCAATCCAAAGCCAGGAGCCAGGAGCTTCTTATGAGTCTCCTACTTGGGTGCAGGTGCCCAAGGACTTGGGCCATCATCCACTGCTTTCCCAGGCCATAGCAGAGAGCTGGATCGGAAGAGCAGCAGCCGGGACATGAACCGGCACACATATGGGATGCCAGCACTACAGGCAGAGGCTTAGCCTACTGCACTACAGTGCCAATCTCTATTTTTTCCCCACTGATATTTAATATAAACTTTTGACCAAGTTATTCTTGGGGACTGGTAATTCCCACCAGCCTGCAACTAAGTGAATAGGATGTAGACGGGAACTACTGGAAAAGTATTTTCCATTTTTAAAAATTCCTTGTTTAGAGGCTGGCAGTGTTGTGTAGCAGGTTAAGCCACTATCTACAGTACTGGCATCCCTTATGGGTGCTGGTTTGAGTCCCAACTGATCCACTTCTGATCCAGCTCCACACTAATGTGCCTGGGAAAGCAGCAGAAGATGGACCAAGTGCTGGGGCCCCTGCACCCAAATGGGAGATCTGGATGAAGCTCCTGGCTCCTGACTTTAGCCTGGCTTAGCCCTGGCCATGCAGCCATTTGGGGAGTAAACCAATGGATGGAAGATCTCATTCTCGTCTCTCCCTCTCTATATATAATTCTGACTTTCACATAAGTCAATAAATAAATCTTTAACAAAATTCCTTGTTTTTATTAGTGTAGGAAGCTTGTTAAGTATCAACTTGTGGAATGAACAGAAGAGGACATTTTTGAGACAGGAAATGTTGACTCTAGTGACTTTCCTACATTTAGTGCTAATTAGTAAAATATATCATTGCTGAAGATGAAGCAGAAAATGCCAATGAGTAAACATATGCTATTAATACTTCAAATAAGTAAGTTGATTTAAAAACATTTCTTTGCCCAATAGTTTGGGCTTGGCCTCAGATCTTTAGTGACAATTCATGCATTCGAACTTTCCCAGAAGACAGATTTTCACAAGTCTAGAATTTCAGATAAGGATGTCAAATTCATACAACCCTTTCATATGGTAGCACTTTTCATTATAGCATAAGATTTAAAATTTAGCTTTTGAAAATCAAATGTTTTTCAAGGAATCATTCCAGAAGCTACATAACAAATTTTTGACTTATACTTCCCTCTTACTTTTTCATTCAATGATTCATATATACACGAACACACACACACACACACACATTCACTCACACAGTTTTTATAATAAACTCTAGAAAAGAGATTTTTCCCTTAACTAAAGCGTAAGAATTTAGGCATTCCAGAGACATCCTAAAAAACAAATCAGTATGGATTGCGTGAAATCAGTATGGATCGTTTGAAATAGGAAGTAACAATGATCTTTCAAGGTTAAGGAAAATCATGGCCACTGTTCATTAAAGGGCCAAAATAAACAGAACATACCTGCTGTCAAATGAGATCTCTGGAGGAATGACATGAGTACTGTCCTTGCCAATGAGGAATTTGATTCTATCATAGAAGAGTCTTGAAGTGTGCTGAGAGAGGAGGGGCTGGCTTTGCTGAATGAGGTCAAGAGGATCCGGTGAGCCCTGGCAGAGAGGACTGGCATAGCAGTTGCTTTGTTGACAACAATCAGGATCCACACAGTCAGTCAAACCATCTGGGAAAAAAAATCCAAGACCAACATTGATATTTAGCTATAAGAGAAACAACATAATTTCTAATGTGCATAAATGGAGAAAAACCTAGAATACAGCCAAAGGTAACCCATCATATTTTGAGCTTAGAATGTGTTAAATTCTCATATTTTTCATAAATTATCACTTACTCCGAATTTATATGGCACCTCAGAGAAATTCAAACTATTTTGTTCATAACTCTTTTCTTTTCTGAATTCTCCAGCATTTATCAGCTAGGGAATATAGTTTCTATGGTGATAGTTTAGCTTTTGAATAAAATTTTCCATTAGGTATCACTCTTTAGAAGTTTCCTTCTTCCTCAGTGAACCCGTTTCTCCAAATAGCAACTATTTCTTGTGATTCTTTTGACTTCCTCATACCTTGTACATCCATGAGCACAAAACAAGTACTTGCTAACCTGAATTTGTATTTTTTTTAAAAAATTCTCTGAATATTGCTGTCTACTGGTACTTCTCAAATTAGAGGCTGGGATTCTTATGGTGACAATTTATCCAGGGTACTGATCTTCATATATATGTTCAATTGCCTGGGAAGTTTAGCAATGAATAATTTTGAGATTGACTTAGTGAACTGGAATTTCTACAGAGCCCAGACTTACTCTGGGTGATTATGGGTGATTCTGAAGCACACCAAAGTTGCAGGACCACTTTTTCAGAAATTTGTTGTAGGAAGTGGAGCTTATTTTTGCATAACAGCACCCTCTTTTACGTTCGTTTATATGAGAGATGGAGAGAGAGAGAGAGAGGTGAGAAGGGTGAGGGGGTGAGATGGAGGGAGGGAGGGAGGGATTCCCATCTACTTGTTTACTTCCCAAATGCATGCACTTGCTGGGGCTGGGCCAGGGTCAAAGCTGGAGCCTGGAATTCCATTTAGATTTGCCACTTGTGCATTAGGGATTCAACTACTTGAGCTATCACCACTGCGTACTAGAGCTTGCATTGACAGGAAGTGGAAATCAGGAGCTGGAGCTGGGAATGAAACTCAGGTACTCTAATGTGGGACAGGGACATCCTAACTGGTGCCTCAACCACTAGGCCAAATGCTTGCCCTGAAAAGCATTTTTAGTGTAATTACTACTAAACCTGAGCTATATGAATATGATGAGTCACGTTTTCTCATTTTGTGGGCCTTCATCGTTTGCTCTAGACTCCTGAATCTACTGTTGAAGAAAAAAGTTCACATGAAGGCTTCATTCCTTGTTATAGGAATGATGTGGGGCAAGGAGTTGTTACATGAGGAGAGGAGGCTACTGAGAATCTAATAGGTGCAAACACTGTGTGAGGTGCTTGGGGAGGTGAGGAGATAAAAAGAGGCTTTTTTCTGTTTTTAGGAGCTTGGAACTTGGAAGGAGAAATAGCTGTGTAACAGCTAACTCTTGCCCTAGTGGAAATGTATGCAGTGCTCTAAGACATGCGAAGAGAAGGGGTTGGAGTGATTACTGAGTTTATGGACACTTCACTCTACACCCACTAAGCAAAAAATTAAAGTTCTTCCAAGCTCCTTAAAGCAGGCAAGTGGTTCAAACTCAGTTCTTTAACAAAGGTGAATACAAAGATGTTAATCATCTTGGCTTGCAGCAGAACAGGGAGGTTCAGATGGATCACTGGCTCCTTAAGGCTTCTGATGAAAGATGCTGGCACTGGTTTCCTGCGGCTCCATTGCTTGCTCTCTCACCCTCACTTGGCTGCTTCTGTTGAGCTGGATGGGGATGTACCACAGCTGGGGGCAATGAAAGCCAGGAACACCAAGAGAGTAGGCTTTTGGAGCAGCAGCCCTAGGGCACCCAGGAAATATTTTTCCCCACATGTGGTCCTTTCAAATTCCCTGTACCATAGACACTACTTTGATTTAAAATGCAGTTTGCTTCTTTCTTGCTTTCCCTGTTTGTAGAGTGTATTTTTGCCACTGATTTCTATTTCTCTGTATACATACTTCATTTTTACTGATGACAAACTTTGAAGTGTGGATTTGTTCCCCCTTTTCCTTTCATTCTGCAAATTATATTAACAGGTTTTCATAATTTGAGATGCCACTACCACCTCTCCCTCCAATATGCTGTTCTCAGCCTCATATTAGCACATTATCTCTTTAGTCTGTTAATTAAACATCTGGATGCACTGGAAAGCTGGTAAAAATATCAGGCTGATTAAAAGAGTTCTCTGATGTCTGGGATTGGTGCATAATACGCCAAGCAATTAAAACTGCTTTGCAGATGGGCAGTCACCTTTATCTTACATTTTTTATTGAATAGTGAGTTTGTTATTATTGAGATAACATATGTGGAAGTACCTAGTGTCATGCCTGACAAATATTAACCAATGTAGTAGTAATAATTGTGAGCATTCTTGGGCTTCAATCTGTTAACCACACAATTTCAACTTGTTTTGAAAAGAAATAAATTTAAAATAAATGTTAATCCCAAAATGATCTTCAAACTTATATTCAAAACTACACATAGAACTAGTTCAAAATTGAGACATTCTCATCTGGTTATGCATTCCAAGTTAATGTTTCATATTTAATAATTGTCTATTTTACAGAGCTGACCCTGTAAAGCCTCTGCTTTCTGAGAGAACAGCAAGACTTCTGATAAATCAAGCAAGGTTGCAGGTGGGCAAATCAGTAAAGAGTGTGCAACCTCCAAATTATAATTCATAGATAAACCCAGTCCATGGGCAAAGATCTACTTACCAATTATCACATTAGATAACACCCCATACAGTATGTCTAGATTGTTACAAAGAAGTGCAAATGACAGTCACATTGGATATGTGTAAATTTTTTTTGTGGAGGGGGCTATTAATGGTTCTCTTATTGTTCCAATTAGATGCTGTGGCAGCACCCTACTAACAGCCAAGCTCATGGTGTCAGATATAGATATATCAAATGTTACCTGTTTTTACTTTTAGGGACTATTCCTTTTAAGGGAATAAAAATAAAAGGCAGCTGAAAAGAGAGATATTACATTGTCTTGAAGAACTAAACATGGCATATATTGATCCTAGTTTTGCAAATAAATTTGGAACTATGCCACTTGGCTCAATTGGTACTGAAGAGAGTTAAAAACCGGTTTCTTTGTTGTGTGACAAATTCATCATTATTCAACTTTTATTTACTAGATGCGTGCTCTTTGTTGTTGAAAGAGGGAATGGACAAGGGAATATGAGTGACACAAAGGAAACACACGTTTTCTTAATACTGAAAATGGTTAGGCCCAGTCATAGAGTGGTGAGCTCAGTTACAGTGTTTGGATTTTCTACCTTCCACTTGCATCTGGAAGCACTTGGCAATTCAGATGAAGCTTTAATAAATGAGCTGCATGGAGAGGAGGGGGTGGGTATGATCAGAAGAGAATAATTAGGAGTATGCTTTCTGATGCCAGGTTTTTTGACCACAACCAAATCTCACAAGTAAATGTGCAGAAAGTGGCTCCTAAATAGGGTGAATGTTATCAATTCCTTGCTCCTTCTCTTTCATTTTCCTATTTATTAAGTACTGCAGCATGCTGGTCACATTCAAAACATGAGGCTCATTGATCCATGAACTTACATGTGTTAATAACTCACCCATGGTGCTGTTTTCCATATCTAGACACACTACATTATAAAAGAGGTTTGCAAGTAGCTATTGGTGGTAATGAATGGTGACTTGTTACGAAGAATGATTCCTGGAAGATCATTCTTTTCTTTAAGGCAATTAACTTACTGATTTTACCAATGAATATGAAAATAGACAACTGGAAGAGTTTGTACAAGAGAAGCCTGGACAAACATGTGACAAATATTTAAAATATCAGAGGGAAAAAAGACCATTTTGATTAAGCACTGTACATCTTTTTAACCTCCTGGATAATCTTTCCACAATATCAGAGACTACCTTCCTTCTTCTGTAACTAGAGTGAATAAAACAGAGCCTTTGTTTGATGACTAAATATCATAAAATTCCCAATATTCTGTATTATCTGGCCCCTGCCCTTTATATACGAATCTCTCCTTGACTCGTTGTGTTCTAGCTACAATGACTTGCTTTTCAGTTCCTAGAAGAGCTTAGCACATTTCTACCTTAGGGCATTTCTACATGTTATTTCCTCTGTCTGGAACATTCTTCCTCTGACTCATATGAGACTTCCCTTACTGCCAAAACTAGGTTAGGCGTCTCATACACATTTAAAGTATCCTAAAATTTCTACGTGTGCTCCACGATTGTAAATGACTAGCTATTCGTATGGAGTCTTCTTTAATATTTGACTTCCGTGCTACATCATTAGCTGCATGAAGGCAGAAACTTATCTTGTTTATCATTCTCTCCTCAGTTCTTATCATAATAACTGCAAAGAAGTAATGAATGAATGGCAAACTGAGCATCCAAAGTGGAATATTTGGCTGAAAACTAAATATTTGAGTTAAAACATCTAGTTCAGCACCATACAATAAATCTTGGTACTCTGCCATCCAATATGGTAGCTACTAGTTTCATATGGCTATTAAGCACTTGAGATATAACTAGTACAACTTTGAAATTGAATTTTTCTCTATTTATTTCAGGGAAGGAGGGAGTGAGAGATAGAGAGAGAATGAGAATGAATGTGCTAGTTCATTTCCCAGATTCCACAATAGCCTGGCCAAAGCCAGGACTTAAGAATGCAATCTAGGTCTACCTCATGAGTAACAGGAAACCAATTTCTTAGGCCATTATCTGGGGTTTCCAGGATCTGTATTGGCAGGAAGCTGGAATCGGGAGCTGGACTGGCACTTGAACTGAGGTGCTCAGATATGAGTTGCAGGCACCTTAATGGCTTAACTGCAAGGATAAATGGCCACTGAGAGAAACAGAATTTTTAGTGTTAAGTGCTGATATGTGACTAGTGGTCACCATACCAGTCAATGCATATTTTGATATTCCCAAATATTTTTATAAAATTCATTGGAAAATACACATTATAAAAACCTATGCGTGAATT